CAGTTATGGAGATTTTTTTATTTAATAATTTTGTGGAAGAATTGTATGTATATTTGATGATGTTAGTAACAAAGAAGCATTTTGTTTCTCAGTAAATTATTGTATATTTTGTTTAGAATGTTGTTTATAGCTGTTTTTATTTTTTGTTTCTATATTTTAGTTTGTGAATAAATGTTTGTATTTGTGTGTATAAGAATATTAATTTATAAACTATAATAAACTGAAAATTAACTATATATAAATTTACAGGATATATTTTTGTATAATAAACTGAAAATAAATTATATATATATCTATGTTGTTATTCTTGTATTGCTTGTATAATAAACTGAAAATAAACTATATATAAATCTCTGTTGTTATTCTTGTATTGGTTTATATAAATTTACAGTATATATTCTCGTATGATAAACTGAAAATGAACTATATATAAATCTATATTGTTATTCTTGTATTTGTTTATATAAGTTTATAATTTTATTCTTATATTGGTTTATAAACCAACAATAAACTAAAATTGAGCTAGATATGAAAATGAGCTAGATTTAAATTTCATTAAATATTTTTGAGTTACAAGAATATTTTACAAGTGAGCTACATGTGGAATATATGTTTTGCAAGTAAACTTCTTATAAAATTTAATAAGTGTGTTTATGTGTGGTATATATTCTCGTTAAACACATATATATTTTCTCTTTAATATTCGCGTTTTGTTCTTGGCATATATGCTTCTTAGCATGCAGTTGTTGTTTGTGGTGAAGTTTTTGTTTATAATATGTATAAATATCATACATAAAGACATTATTTCCTTTGAAGTGTATTCCCAACTCCGACATATACCAATTTAAATTTTGAAATATTTTTACAGTCTTAATCGTCGAGTCTTGTTACGCGAGAGCTAATTTGTTATAAATTATTTCCATGTTTAGTTTTTTTTTTAATCAATGATCCTTAAAAAAAGGAAACAAAATCGCTACAGGTTTGGTAAGAGATAATGTTGAATAAATACAAATAAAAGTCCTTTCGTATGGTTGCTAAATTGTTGGAGTCAATCGTAGGTTTATTGTGCCTAAGTACAATTTTATGTCCAAGTGTAATTTGAGTGCTTAATTATGTGCAAGTATTTAATTTAATATGCCCAAGTATACCATGTGTTTAAGTTTTTTTTGTCCAAATTTCTCTAAGTGTTCAAATGGCCCAAATGTATATGAAATTTCTCTAAGTGTTCAAATGGCCCAAATGTATATTGTAAGCATGTGTTATCTCGGCCCAATATCTCATTTTCTTATGGCCCAACAACAGCAGCTTGACCCCTCGACAACATCACCAGTCGACCCCTACCATTCCCCCAAGTTTCTCGGCCCCTCCCTGATCTCTATCGCCATTTGTAGCATCAATGGGAGAATTTTCTCCCCATTTTTCTCGATCAGTAACAACAGATTTAGCCTTGGACCTTTAAAATCGATTGAAGCCTTCAAACCCTAGCCTCGTCCTCTCTCATCCAGCGGCCACAAAATTTCTTCCACGGCGACGCGAGGCAGGCGAACAGCGACTGAGAGCCGCGAACAAGCCGCAGCAGCGGAGCTTTTCCGATTTCGAGCCGCGATCCGACCTCCGACCTCCAGTCCGACCGAGCTTTGATCTCTTCGAGCTCTGACCTCTGACCATCCGAGGAACCGAACAGCGGCGGCTGACGGGAGTGGACCTCCGACGGTAAGGCTAGACTAGGCACGGTTGTCGAGAGCCGACCCTTCGTGGTGAGACGTGTACAACCGGGTGCCCATAGCAGGCCTCTATTGCGACTGCCCTTCGGTCGCGGCTGAAGCCCGGTTTTCGAACGGCAGATTTACGGTGACCGGGACATCAGACCTCCGTCCGTCCAACGAACGAGGCAAGCTTTTCACCTCACGTCCGGCGAATTGAGAGTTTCCCCAGCACATCCGAGCCACCCCGCCTGAAGCGAGCCGAAAGCGATCGTGTCCAGCGGCTGAGGGATGGCCTTACTGTGACTGATATAAGAGCCATTAGCTAGCCGAACCTTGCCAGTTCCGAGATTCGGGAGCCGAGAGCCTTAGTCGAGGCCCTTTTCAGACCCGAGACCTGAGCTTTTCGTCCTTTACCTTCTGGAAGAGAGGTATTTCAACAAACTGAGTTTATGTGAAATTTATGTGTTAGTTTCAGTTTTGCGGGAGAAACTCATAAGGTTTATGCTTGAGAATGTAAGTTGTGCCTTGTTGTGTTTGGGAACTTGTTGGCCTCGTTTATCTTGTTTTGGAATGTTTTGGCTTTGATTTTTTGAGTTTAAAACCTTGCTTTTGCCCTGTTATTGTCGTGTTTGTATTGAGCATGTCGGGCTGTTTCTATGGGATTATGGAAGCTGTTAGTATGTGCCTTCGAGGTTTAAAAAAAAAAAATCATACTAAATTGCCTTAAGATAATATGAGAAGGAATCCATGATTGGTATGCCATATTGTCAGGATTTAACGAGATTTTTTTTAGCATATATTGAACCTCCGTTTTGATACTTTTATGCTATTAAGATGAGGGTTTAAGGTGAGGATGTTCCGGCCCAAAATAATTTGTAAGTTGCATGGTTCACGCCATTGACACTTAACAGCATGATTAGCATGTACATGACAAACTCAGAGTGTCAGGTCTCTCAAATGGAATTTATCTTTTTGTCCCATGTTGACCCATGTTGATTTAATCTTCTTTTCCTGCCAGACTTATTAATATATTTTGGAAATTGAAGAGCATGATAGAGGGACTATTTTTGCCTTGTATATTCTCGCATATGCAGGCTATAGGCATGTTTCTTTTCAGTTGAGATTAGTTATAAGTGCAGGCCTTGAGATTAGAAGAGAAAAGTATATGTTTGTGTGACTGTGTATTATTTGATGATTGATTTTGTGGCTTTGGATGCCTGCTTTTTGTGTTGTGCATTTGCTCTTGTTTTTATATGCTGCCTTATGTGTTTGATTTTCCTTGCTTGTCCTTGTTTGCCTGAATGTTTTGTCTGTCCTATTTGCTGTCCTATTTGCTTGCATGTCATCGCATTTAGTAATAAGAAAAATTATTTAAATTGTAGTATAAAGAGGAGTTGATCCCTCATCCAGACGCACATTCTTTGAAGCAACAATCCAGGTGGGGGTAATATACTATGGTTTATTCTGTATAAACTGTGGTAGTATAGTTTTTATATGCATGTGATTGTAGGCCGGTGGGCCGTGTGTGATGTGAACTTTTACCATGGCGACTTGAAATAAGAGTCACTAGGCTGGGTAATTATCAGTTAAGTTTTCTACTAACGGGACTATGTAATGCCAATGGCACTAGTAGAGTTATTTATTAGCGGGACCGGTTGATGCCGAATGCACTAGTAAGTAACCATACCGACGCTCATGAACTTAGGTTAACGGCGTATACTAGCTATTTAGCCGGGTAATTATGGAGGCTTGAAATAAGAGTCACTAGTCCGAATTTACTTGGAGGCTTGAAGCTGCAATGTTATTGGTAAGCAGTGAGACAGTTGAGGTTGCATGTTCATATGATTATTATCCTATCTATTTTCATGCTGAATCGATGCATAGTATGAATTTTACAGAGTCGAGAGACGATGCTCACCCCTTTGTTTTTAAGAGAAGAAAAAAATAAATCTGAAAGTTCGTGTTTCTTTTAAATAAATAAGCGGGCGTTACACATTACCCGAGCATTAATAATCATGTAATGTCGTAATGGGTTAGGTTTGGGTAGGGGTGGAGTGTGCGAGTTGGGTAAAGAATTCCCAACCGAACCTTTCCCGAATCTAGTTCTTCAAGTTCAAGAAACCTAAATTTTATTTGGTCAAATCATCTACTTTTTCCCATCTCTGCAGGACGTAAAAAACAAACAAATTCGTCATTCGAGCACACACATGCTCGTCATATCTCACTTGCAACTTTTTCGGCGGTTAGCGAAAATGAGAAGAAACATAGGAGTTCCGAGCCCTGTTAAATTGGTTTTCATAGTCATCTCCATTTCTTTCATCATCATACAGATTATTTCAGCAATCTACCTCATAAAAATCCCTTTGTCAACCATTTCGTTACCCAAACACAAAAACTCCACGACTGAATACTCGAAAATCGGTGAACTTGGAAAAACAGTAATTGGGATGTTACCCGAAGATCTGCCGTTCACCCTGTTTTTGCCTTCGGAGGAAGCCTTTCGCCACGATCTGGGATTGAGTAGAAACGACAGCGATGATGCGTACGCAACACTCACGAGGGTTTTGGGGTTCTCAGCCTTACCGAGACATGTTTATGTGGCAAATTTGGAGTACGGGAAACAGAAAATCTATGATTCAATATCAGGGTTCACTTTGTACTTATCGAAGACTTCGAAAGGGATGGTGGTGGTTAATGGTGTGGTCTCAGAGGCTGTGGATTTGAAACTTGGGGAGATTCTGGTGCATGTAATGAATGGAGTGGTGATGGATGCCGAGTTTGAGCTATCTGTGCAGCCTGAGGGTGAGGATGATGAGAGAAGATAATTCAATAGATGTTTCTTTTCTTTTTTATTTTTTATTATTATTATTTTTTTATAATTTGTTCAAGTACTTTCAGCTGTTTATTGTTGAGGCATTACCAAATAGTATGAGATTGCTTATGCTTTTGTTTTCATAATTTATGGTTGACTCTGTATTAGACCATAGATATTTATGTTGTAGGATTTATGTGATAAATAAAATATTAGCAAGAGAAAGCGATTAAATTAATGCCTCGGTGATTCACATGAAATCTTTGAATTTCCCTCGGTTCTTGATTGTATCACATATTTTTTCACATTAGAATATTTGAATTTCCATTGTTCTTATGACTAAACTATAAAATATGCTCAGTTGAACACTGATGCTGCGGATTACAGTCTTCTTGTGAGCTCGTTCTATCACATAGTTATTCACATTAACAAAATTTTTTGGTTTTGGGGTAAAATTTGATATCTTGTGACTATTTATTAGCAGGAGGAGATGAGAATTCCTAGAAAACTGGAGGTATGGAAGATGGGTGTCGTGAATTACTCGCAGGCACTAAAGCTGCAAGAGAAACTGATATCCGATAGGAAATCACAGAAGATCACAGACACTCTCCTGTCCCTACAGCACCCCCCGACTTACACCCTCGGAAAAAGACGAACCCAACACAACGTATTAGCCAACGAGACCGAACTCAAAGCCATGGGAGCTAAGCTCTACTACACAGAGAGAGGAGGTGATGTCACTTTTCACGGGCCCCACCAAGCTGTTTTGTACCCCATTGTTTCTCTGAGAGAACTCGGGCTGGGGGCCAGAAAATACGTTGAGAAGCTCGAGCTCACGATGATCGAGCTGGCTTCTCTGTACGGTTTGGCAGCTCGTGCGGGACAAAAGTGCGAAACCGGGGTTTGGATTGAGCAGAGAAAGATTGGGGCGATTGGGGTTCGTATATCGTCCGGGATTACATCTCACGGGCTGGCTTTCAATGTCGACCCGGATTTGAGTTACTTTGGGCATATAGTGCCTTGTGGGATTGCAGATAAAGAGGTTACATCTTTGCAGAGGGAGGTGAAAGAAATGCTTCCTCCTGAGGAAGTTGTTACTGAGCAGTTGATTTCCTCTTTTGTGAGGACCTTTGATTATGGTGATGTTGTTTGGAAAGATGCATCATCAATCTCACTGGATGAGTGAAAATAATGTACTCTAGCTGATTATTATTTTTATTCTTTTATGATTTTTTTTATACATTTTCTAATTCCTGCAGTTTTAAAATACGTCATAAGGTTTTAGGTAATGGAATTTGATTTACTTTCTTAAAATACGGTTAAAAATGTAATGAAAATGAGGTGTACTTGACCCGCCTTTTGGGGCCCATCGGGTCAAAGGTTTGTCAAAAGGTAATGTTTAGATAGGCAAAAATTATTAAACAAATGAAGAGGAAATCGGTTAGATTATCATCGGCAGTTGTAAATCTATATTTAATAATATTAAAGAGATCCTATTTATTAAATATAATAAATAGTAGGTACAAAAATCAAATGTAATTAATAAACTTTTAATTTTATCAATTAGTAATTAATGCATTTATAATTTATGCTGACACTTAATTTTTTTTTTATAAATATTAACATAACAAATTATGTACGTAAATCTCATTAAAAAAATTATTCTTATAAATTTATGCTGACCTTCTAATTTTTAATCATTCTTATCTTGACATAAAAAATTCCATAAAATCGGGTGAGCAAAAACAATCAAAATCTGTACTTATATAATAAGGTATTCTATTTATCAAATTTAGTAGGTTAAAAAATCAACGTAATTAATGCATTGTTCTTTTTATCCAGAATTTTGTTTAATTATTTTATTTATTTGTCTTATATCCTATAAAATCAGTTTAAGAAAAAAAATCTCATAACATCTGATAAGTAAAAAAAAGACGTAAAATCTTTATTAAAATAAAAAAAAATTATTTATTTGTCTTATTCCATATTAACATCGATTTTGTCAAAACAAATCCCATAAAATTGGTGAAGTCAAAATTTGTACGTAAAGTCTATCTATACTAAAAAAAAAAGACAGATTCAAAATTTCTTATTTAATTCATTTTTTTCCTTATCTAATTCCTTCTTATTATCTAATAATATGGAAATTTATTTTGATTTTGTTCAATTCTCTAATTGTATTTGTATTATATCCCATAAAATCGGTTTAACAAAAAAAAAACCCATAACATCCGATAAGTAAAAAAAGTACGTAAAATCTTTACTAAAATAAAAAATATTTTATTTATTATCTAATTGTATAAATATCGGTTCTGATTTTGTTCATACCGATTTCTGTACATTCAAATTCAAATATTCTAATAAAACAATATATATCTACTCTACCCATTATAAATTACAAATCTCAAAATATCGAGCCATCATCTTCCTCACTATTAACCTCATGCGAACAAAAAATATCCCCAGTCAGTCTTTTATTCAAACCAATGAATCAAGGATTTCGGTTAGTCAAACAAGTCAATAGGTCTAATAGACATATGCTCAAAGTTTGAATTGTGAGAATGTTTTTCCAAGACTGGGACAACACATACAAATCATATATCAAGTTGGTTCTGAATGATAAAACTGTAAGCCAAATTTTAATTATTTGAATTTTTGTTTTAATTTCAAAATTTGAAACGTATTTTTTTTTTTATTTTTGTGTATGTATTTAGATATTTTTGTACATGTTTAGTGAAATATATTGTCGA